CCCCCCCCCCTCCGCCGTCCCTTGCACCGAAATGGAGAGATGGCCTCCATTCGGAGAGTCTCCCAGGTTGGCCGTCCAACAAGCTCGCCGGCTGCACCGGCCCCTCCCTATAGGGGCCAAGGGTTCGCTTTGCCTCTCTTTCAAAGCTGGTGTCTATCTCAAAAACTTAGGCCCTCCCTTGTTACCCCCTGAGCGAGATGGGGTGCCCACGCTTGGGAGAGAAACCTCCCTGGGGAACCTGGGCCTGTGAATCCTAGGTGGCTCTCTGGCCTCTATGCTGTGTTGCGTGTCAGGGTCACAGACAGTGGGATGCTCAGCTTTCCCCGGGCAGGCTGCCGCCCACATTCATACATTCAGCACATTTCGCCGTACCTTTTTCTCTGCCACGCAGTGGGCCTAGGATACGGCTGTGACCAACCTCAGGTCCTTACCTTCCTAGAGCCCAGAGTGTGTCAAGGGAGACAATGGTGTAACCCTAGAAATAAATGACAGCCAGCTTTATTCTTGGATAGGGAGGGCCAGGAGATGTGGGAGCTCAGGGCAGCTGCATCTTGAAGGGGGCAGGGGGAGGGGAGGAGAGGCTCCCTCGAGTCCTGAAAGCCAAATAGGAGTTAGCCAGATGAAGAGGTAGGAGAAAGTGGATGTATATCGTTAGTGCTTTTCCACTTTTCAGCCTGGCAGAGACTTAATAGACTTTCTGTTGTATGTAGAAATTGACATATCCCTCTGTTACACCCTCCCCCTTCCTTTTTAAAAATTTTATTTATTTAGGAAATCTCTACGCCCAAAATGGGGCTCAGACTGACAGCCTGGTGTCAAGAGTCGCTTGCTCCTGCAACTGAGCCAACCAGGCACCCCTGTTTTACTCCTTTTTAAATGCACTTTACAACGTGTCAGTTGCTATAAAGGCATTACGGTATTTGAGCTATGAAGATATGAAAAAAGGAAATTGCTTGTGAGGTTCCATTTGAGAGAGATCTCTGCTGGAATCCATGTCGTTCCTTATGTTGAAATGTGTTTTCATGACCATTATCAAAGATTGTGTTCCCTTTCTGAGCTGAGAACCACCAGTGCTCCTATTTACAAGATCATTCAACAAATATCACCTGCCCACTACCAGTGGAGGTTTTTGATGGTGAGGATACGTCAGTAAACACTTTGTTTCATTGGGGTCTCTGTTCTCATTAGGGCTCACATTCTAGGCCCAGAAGACAGATATAAAGAAACAAAGAAATGAAGGGCACCTGGGTAGCTCAGTTGGTTAAGTGTGCGACTTGGGCTCTGGTCATGATCTCACCATTCCTGAGTTCGAGCCCCTGTATTGGGCTCTGTGCTGACAGCTCAGAGCCTGTACCCTGCTTCAGATTCTGTGTCTCCCTCCCTCTCTGCCCCTCCCCTGCTCATGCTCTATCTCTCAAAAATAAACATTAAAAAAAAAATAAATGAGAGGATTTCATAATTGAGGAGGGGATGTGGTGAACTTTCCTGATGGCCTCTGAGGGGATGGATAACAGGATAGAAAGATGACCTTGGCCTGAGATACAGTTGTGAGATTGAGTTCCGTATTGGGCTCCTCGCTGGATGTGGAGTTTGCTTGGGATTTTCTCTCTCTTTCTGCCCCTCCCTCTCTCTCTTTCTCTCTCTCAAAATAAACAAACATTTTAAAAAATGACCTTGGGCTTTGGTGACCTCAACAAGATGAGTTTGAATGGAACAGTAGGGACAGAAATCTGGCCTGGAGGAGGCTAAAAGAAGAGGATGAGGAAGTAGAGCTAGAGGTAAAATTTTTTCAAGCATTTAGAGTGAGGGGAGCAGAAAAATGGGTCCGTGGATCAACTGGGTGAGGGGAGTGGTGTCTTTTTTTTTTTTTTTTTAATTAATTAACTGGAAAGATACAAGAGCATGATAATATGCTGATGGGTGTGATCCAGGAGAGAGTGAGTTTGCTGATGTTGCGCCAAGGAAACAAGTAGAGATTAGCTTACAGAGCGTAAGTGGAATGACCTTTCTTGGGACTACATATTAACAAGAGGGAGAGCAGAAAAGGTGGGTACATCTGCCGAGAATGGGTGCTAATGCCGGTAACTAGCAAGTTAAAAAAAAATGGTATTCTTTCTCCCTAAGGTTTCTTCAGCCATATTTTTTGGATACGCCTGTCCTGGTTGTGTGTGTGTGTTTTGTGAGTGATTTGGGAATGTGAAGTTTTTATAATTTCTAAACAAAATATTAACTTCCCTAGTGAAAAATTGAATATTGCTGATCAAATTGTTCTTAGCTGTGTACTGTTACAAAAACATAGCCACTATTACACATCCAGGGTCTACATGAGGTTTTGAGAATTCTTTCTAACCACATTAGTGAGTTTCATTACAAGGAGTAGCAATAGGAAAGAAAATATGGATCAGACATACTGCATAATAATTGGCATTTTGCAGAGAGATAACTGTGGAAGTTTTAGAAGCAAATGGTTTCTGCCATGGTAGTTTATTTAAGTACATCAAGTACCTGTCAGGATTGTGATTTTCTTGTGTCTAGCTAATTACCTCTCAATCCACATACTCTCTGTAAGTAACTTACTGGACGTTGTTGAGCTAAAACACTGTCCCTTGTATCATTAAGTTAAATGAGATTTATTCGAGTGAGATAGTTCTCTTTATTTGTGGTGGAAATTGGCTCCAAGCAGGCAGATGTTAGAGTTTTGTCTGCGGGGCTCCTGGTCCACCAGTTTCTGTAGGTAAGGCTCAGCCCACCATGTGAAAAGCACACAGTGCATATAATGACGTGCATTCTTTAGAGAAGTTCACTGGTATAATGTACTTTATATATACTGCTCTAGAAAGAAATGGGAGAGAGGGAGAGAGTGTGTGTGTATGTATTTTAGATTGTTCTTTGGGAGTCTGAATTATTTTCTCCCCAGTTTGTAGTCTAATCTGTGATTCTCAGTTCTTAAAACAACCCTTCAATAGATTTCTTTTTTCTCTTTTTTTCAAAGGTCTTGAGAAATCAAGTGCCTGATAGGCACACACTTAAGATGAAATTAATTCAAACTTACTTTTATTTAATTATTTAAATTTTTTGTATTAAAAAAAATTTTTTTTAATGTTTATTCATTTTTGAGAGACAGAGTGCAAGTGGAGGAGGGGCAGAGAGAGAGGGAGACACAGAATCCAAAGCAGGCTCCAGGCTCTGAGCTGTCAGCACAGAGCCCGACATGGGGCTTGAACCCCCATGAGCTGTAAGATCATGACCTGAGCTGAAGTCAGATGCTTAACCAATTGAGCCACCCAGGCACCACTACTTTGATGTAGAAATATGCTATAATTCAGGGTGCGTTGTGAAGTTAGTAGCCTTATGTAAATGTTAGATGCTTCCAAGGGGGAAGATGAAGTAGAAAATGGTAAATGTCTCAAAGGTAGGATTATAATACCCTGGTTGCATAAACCTGTTTTTATAAGGAAACGTTACCCAGAGATTGTTGTAGAAATCTCATCATTTAATTTTGTTCCACACACAATCTCATTTTCATTGAATGATCATTATTATTATTTTACAGTTTTCTTTTTTATTTATTTTTTAAGTAATCTTTACACTCATTGCAGGGCTTGAACTCACAACCCCATGCTCTTCTGACAGAGCCAGCCAGGCTATTAATCTTTTTTTAAGTGAAGGCATCAGATGAGCTGAAGAGCACAAGCCACAGGCAGAGTGACAGTATTGGACACCACTTTAGGAAGAGATGAGTAGTTAACCAACAGAAATGAAACCCTGGAAAGAAGCTCATTTTTCTTTTAGGGGATTTTTAATTTTTGAGAACAGCAGTCTCAAATTTTGACGGCAAAATTGGGTTTTGTGCATTTTTGTAATTATGTTTCTTTAAATGAATTTCTCTTTAAATGAAATTTTGTTTTAAATGAAGTTGGAAAATTTTTTCTCTTTAATTCCAGTTAAAGCTGAATGGGATACAACTCAGAACAGGGACGTTTTGTGCCAGTGAGGCCGGCCTCAGGCTATAGACAACAGAGTCCATGTCTAATTTAACTAGAAATTTCACCTGGAGAACATTTCCATAGTGGTTAGACCTCAAGTAGTCCTCTTGGTAGAATTTATTTTGCTTTTCATCTGGTGACATTTAACATACAAGGCTATCTATTTCTCCCAGGTTATTTGCAAGTATTTTATTATCGTGACAACTATATAAAATTCAGATCCCAAATTGGGTTCTTGGAGACTATTAATTCAGAATGAGCTTCTGGCAGAAAATACTTGTATGCATTTCTTGTTTCTACCTAAATAAAATGCTGAGGCATTTCGATGGCCATTCTCATGTACCTGCTGACTTTGGGGGCTTGTTTTTGTTTTGTAGGGTTAAAAACTAATATTTATATAAGACAGAAGAGAAAGATGTCATTCCGTAAAGGTATGCTCTTTCTACAAATTTTCTTGTTTTTATAGCTGCTCAAAAGGTAAAGAGATGTAATGCAGGCTTTTCCTCTTTGTTTCAGTAAACATCATCGTCCTGGTCCTGGTTGTTGTTCTCTTCCTACTGGTTTTGCACCATAACTTTCTCGGCCTGAGCAGTTTGCTACGGAATGAGGTTTCAGGTATGGGAACCCTTACTAATGTTTTGGCATTTGTTGAGGACCCAGGGTTCCCTGTGTCCCACATCCTAAAAGTTACAACACTAGGCTAAAGGAAGATAAAGTTTTCTTCTTGTCCTTACAAAAGCTGCTAGGAAAAGGTAGTGGTGCTCCTTGTGTTCTTATAGCCCCACCCCCACCTCCCTGTTGTGGAGATTTGCTAAGGGTTTGATCTTACCGCAGACCCCTTTTCACCAAAGCAGAGGCCTTAGGGGAACTGTCCGCTCCTTGCAGCAGGGGAGGGCTTCAGAAGGTGGGGACAGGTATGTGAAGCTTCTACTTGATGCCTGCCCTGTTTACTGGTATCATTGGGCTCCTTTCCTTCATCTGTTCTTTCTTTTAACGTGTGGAACAGTAGTACTGGGACCATAGTAGTAAAACAAAACCAGAAAGCCTTATTAACTGATGTAAAAAATCACTTTTTTGCATAATTCCATTGCTCTACTGCAATATTGGGAGGTTTCAGGATGTTTGTCAAAAATCATTTTGCGGTTGCTACCCACCCTAGTTGACCAGAACAAGAAAAGATGAATAGTTTTTGCCTGACCTTCACAGAGTGCTCTGAAATAACAGTATGTATTTACATATGTACATACAACATACATTAAGCAAGTAAGTATGATATGTATAATGTATGCATAATGTATGCTCTTGGTGGGAACATTTAGAAAAAGGAAAACAGCATTCAGGCTCCACGAGAATACTTTGTTCACTGCTTTATCTCCTATGTAGTTGGATGATGGCTAGTACACAGGAGGTGCTCAATAAATTTTCATTGAAAATTATTTCATTGCCTAGATACAGCTATTACTAAAATTTTGGCTTAGTGCCTTCCTGCCTTTTTTTTTCTGTGTATGTATTTTTTCTGTCATGAGATTATGTAATATATAAACTGCAATGACCTGTTTTTCCATGTGATTATATCTGAAGCAAGTCACCGTGATGGTAGATATTCTTCATATATAATTTTAATGCCACATAGTTTGTTTTCCACAGGAAAAATAGTCTTGGAACAATGTGACTCAGCCTTTTTTTGATGGCATCCCCACAATAAGAAACATGTTATAGATAGCACCCAAATATACATGTGTATTTGCTTATTGTCCATCTACCCTTCATGGTGGTAGAGATTTGTGTTTTACTTATGGCTATGACCCCAATGCCTAGCACATATTAGATGCTCAGTGTCCAATGAATGTAAATGAATGAATATATATTGTAAAAGGCAAAAAGGAACGTTTACAAAACAGTACTTAGAATTGCTGTGTGTGGTGTGTGGTCTGATACTTTTCTGATTTGGTGCTCTGTTCCAATTCAGGAATTGCTTTTCTACTCAAATTCTGATTGTGACCCACTAAATTGATTTCATGCCTATTTATGGGACATAGTTCATGGTTTGAAAAAAAATGGTTTAGTCGGTTTCTAGGTTTTCACAATTATAAACACACTTGTGACTTTGGATTACCTCTCAGATTTGTACTTAAGAGAGGCAAGGGGAATTACTGGGTCAGAGATCATGTACCTGTTTAAGGTTCTTGATACAAATTGCTAAAAAGACATTCTGGAAAGATTCTATTGTATTCCCACCAGTAATGTATCAGAATTCAGTCCACCAATGTTTTTTTTAATGTTTCTACTTTTCCAAAAGCCTTGTCACACATAGGAAAACACAGAGCTTCTGAGCTATATGCCTCATGTTGTAATGGGGGGAGAATGAAGTAAGTATAATCCTCACCTTACCTCTTATCATGTCTTGGGCTCTAGAGCAAGAGCTTATGAGGTTTTGTATCACAATATTTTCCTTGTGTGTGTTCTTTGCAGATTCAGGAATTGTGGGGTTTCAGCCCATAGACTTTGTCCCAAATGTTCCCCGACAAGCTGTAGACGGGAGACAAGAGGAGATTCCTGTGGTCATCGCTGCATCTGAAGATAGGCTCGGGGGGGCCATTGCAGCCATAAACAGCATTCAGCACAACACTCGCTCCAATGTGATGTTTTACATTGTTACGCTCAATGGTACAGCAGACCATCTCCGGTGAGCTCTGCTTGCCTGATGATTCTGCTTCTAGAGGATGCTCTAGAACAGGCCAGCTGCCAATCCAGGAATGTTTTTTTCCATATGTGTATACTTCTTCTATACAATTGAGATCATACCACATAAAAACTGCACATGAGAGGTTTTTCCATGTGATTGTATCATAAACACATCCCTGTGGTAGGAGAAAGAATATAAGGAATTTGTACCAAGATGTAAATTAATTTAGTCATACACACATTATTAAATCAAGGGTTTTTTTTAGTAATAATTTCTCAGTGAAGGAAGCAATATGTTGATTTACATTCTGTTACAAGTTCCTTATCTCATGGACACACCCTGAGTAGTTAGTTCTAGAGTGGGATGGTTCGGGGGAACGATGGCAAGGTGGTGTGGTGAAGTGAGCATATAGACAAGAATCCGGATCCTGGCCCAGTGATTGGGGAGAATTACTTAACCCCTGGGAGCCCATTTCGTCATCTCTAAGTATGGGGTGAAAATGTCCAACTTAGAGGATTATTGTGTTGAAAATGAGAATATATAAAAAAACATTAAGAACATAATAGTCAGTAAACGTTCCTTACTGTAATTGTGATTAATCAAAGAATCCTAATCTGATAAAGTCATCCAGATCTTGAAAATGCTCTGAATTCAGATTTATGATATTCAAAGAAACATCTTATTTAATAGGCTAACAGTTGTCACTGTTCTAAAACATTTCTGTCCTTGTGACTTTCTCCATGGTTCCTGTTTAGTTTGTGAAAGTTGTTATTTTTCCTATATTTTAAGGACTCCAAGGGGCGCTTGGGTGACTCAGTTTGTTGAGCGTCTGACTTTGGCTCAGGTCACAATCTCGTGGCTCGTGGGTTCAAGCCCTGCCTCCGGCTCTGTGCTAACAGCTCAGGGCCTGGAGCCTGCTTTAGATTTTGGGTCTCCCTCTCTCTCTCTGCCCCTCCCTTGCTCATGCTCTGTCTCTCTCGGTCTCAAAAATAAACTTTAAAAAAGTAAATAAAAACTCCAAAACCATCTAAAATAATGTAGAAAGACCACACTAGCAGAGACTACAGGAAAAATGTGCAGTCATTTACAGAACACAGACTTTCTTAGAGATAGTACCTTAGACACTGGTGGAGGAATTACTTGGTCATTACAGTGAATTAGAGTCTAAAAGAACAGGCTACCAGTTTTGTCGACAGTTAGCTTTCACTGCCATCATATTTTGACTTCTTTTCTTCACCACGTATTTGGAGAAACAAGAGTTGATTGGTCCGTGTGATGATGGGATGTTCTCAACTGGTTTCTCTCCAGCACTGACCCTGAATGTGAGCCTGGTGGGAGCACTCTCCATCACCACAGAATCTTGGTTCAGGCAGGGAGTTTGATGGGCATACCTTCACTTAGATGAGGAAACCAAGGCTCGTAGAAGAGGCTTGAAGACATCTATATGGTCCCCAGGGTTTCTCTTAAACTACATTATGCCCTTATTGGAAGACAGAGAAGGCTGTAGTTTGGGGACATAGTTACTTATTTAAAAAATTTTTTTGTTTATTTTTGAAAGAGCACGCGCGCACACATGTGCGGGAGGGGCAGAAAGTGAGGGAGACACAGAATCTGAAGTGGGCTCCAAGCTCTGAGCTCTCAGCACACCTAACGAACCATGACGTGAGATTGTGACCTGAGCTGAAGTTGGACACTTAACTGACTGAGCCACCCAGGAGTTCCTGGGGACATGGTTATTTAAAAATTTTTCTTTAATGTTTATCTATTTTTGAGAGAGAGAGTGCAAGTTAGGGGAGGGGCAGAGAGAGAGAGACACACACGCAGAATCCAAAGCAGGCGCCAGGCTCCGAGCTGTGAGCACGGAGCCCAATGTGGGGCTTGAACCCATCAACCGCAAGATCATGACCTGAGCCAAAGTTGGATGCTTAACTGACTGAGCCACCCAGGCGCCCCAAGGACACGGTTATTTAAAACACATTTGGTGCTTTATTTTCATCAGGTCCTGGCTCAGCAGCAGTACCTTGAAAAGCATCAGGTACAAAATTGTGGATTTTGACACTAAACTTTTGGAAGGGAAAGTCAAGGAGGATCCTGACCAGGGGGAATCCATAAAACCAGTGAGTTCCATACATCCTTGTTTGTACTTGGGAGTTTGGTGGACTCTAACACAGGTTTGAACTGCATGGGTCCACCTATATGCAGATTTTTTTTTGATACAGTACTATAAATGTTTGTTCTTACGATTTTAACATTTTCCCCTAGCTTACGTTACTCTAATACAGCATATAGTATGTATACCAGATGTATGGACTGTTATAGGTAAGGTCAACAGTAGGCTATTAAGTTTTGGGAGTGTCAAAAGTTGTATGTGGATTTTTGTGCAGGGGGCCAGTGCCCCTAAACCCCAAGTTCTTCAGGAGTCCACTGTGTTAGGAAGTGACTGGAATACTTGGGTAACTGGGTATGGTTCCCTGGGGATCCGGTTGGGCAGTTCTGAGAGACCTTTAGCTGTCTTCTCCTGCATGGGTACTGAGAGCACTCTGGGAGTTTCTAATAAAGGCATAGTCACTGATGAATCCTGTGCCAATGGCTCTTTCTTTTTCCTTTCCCAGTTAACCTTTGCAAGGTTCTACTTGCCAATTCTGGTTCCCAGTGCAAAGAAGGCCATATATATGGATGATGATGTAATTGTGCAAGGTACCAAAGACTGTCACCATTAGTGCTGTTCTCTATCCAGAGTGTGGGTGGTAGCAATTGTTTTATTTATGGTATCTTATAAAAGGTCATCCTAAGTGGGAGGAATGGGCATCTTGAGGCAACTCAAAGTGTAAATCTTAAAAGAAAAAAAAAAGTAAATCTAAATCTTACACCTTGTCTGTTTCAGGGGATATTCTTACCCTTTACAATACACCACTGAAGCCAGGGCATGCAGCTGCATTTTCAGAAGATTGTGACTCAGCCTCTACCAAAGTTGTCATCCGTGGAGCAGGGAACCAGGTAAAGTACTTATTCAAGATCTTACATAGACACGCCACTCTCTATACTGCAGGGTAATGGGGAGAGGCAGCAAAATCAAGGGGCCCTTTACTTTTGCTACATTTTCCATTCCCCAGTTCATCCCCAAATTCAAGGCCGCTTTTCTGTGGATTGGTTCATGATTTTAACAACCTGATTCTCCTTGAACATCTGGCTTAGTATGTTTATTCTAGGTTCCTATTGTTAATTTGGAATCCAAAATGTCACTGTTTTGTTAAAAATGTTTATTGGAGAGGGGGAAGAGAGAGCATGGGCACATGTGTGCAGGAAGGGCAGGGAGAGAGAGAGAGCATCCCAAGCAGGCTCCGTATGACCTGAACCAAGATCAAGAGTTGGATGCTTAACTGACCAAGCCACCCAGGTATCCCCCAAATGTCACTTTTCATTGCTTTACACAGAGCCCCTTTGCTAATAATCTGAGTAGTTTAATAAGCAGGTTTTTTTTTTTTAACTGGCTATCAGTTACATCTATTTTGTTTGAAGCAATAAACCTACTATATATCCCATTTGTGTTTTAGTATAATTACATTGGCTATCTTGACTATAAAAAAGAAAGAATTCGTAAACTTTCCATGAAAGCCAGCACCTGCTCATTTAATCCTGGAGTTTTTGTTGCAAACTTGACAGAATGGAAAAGACAGAATATAACCAACCAGCTGGAAAAATGGATGAAACTCAATGTAGAGTAAGTATATATAGCTGACCATGCTGTAAAGATGCTTATTTCAACCTGGGTGGTCTTGTTTAAGAGGAATTTTTAAGGATTCTCCACTAACAGTTTACATTTGTCATTTGTCCCCCCAAGAGAGGGACTGTACAGCAGAACACTGGCTGGCAGCACCACAACACCACCTCTGTTGATCGTATTTTATCAACAGCACTCTACAATTGACCCCATGTGGAATGTCCGCCACCTCGGTAAGTTGAAAAAATTAACCAAAGGCCTAACTAATAAAGAATTTAAGTGTCTTTCCTCAGGGATGGGATATATCCAGTTCCCTTTAAGTTTTCTGGAGTTTGATGTAGCATTCTTATTTCTGACTAGTACTAGGTACAATCATTTGGCTCTTTTTTTCCCAATGTAAGGTTCCAGTGCTGGAAAACGATATTCACCCCAGTTTGTAAAGGCTGCCAAGTTACTTCATTGGAATGGTCACTTTAAGCCATGGGGAAGAACTGCTTCCTATTCTGATGTCTGGGAAAAATGGTATATTCCAGACCCCACAGGCAAATTCAGCCTGATCCGAAGACATATGGAGATCTCAAATACAAAATAAAACATAATTTATGCTATAAGCATTTCTCAGGAAATCCTGGAAGACAGTATGTGTGGGAATTAACAGTTGCAAGGCTTCAATGCCTATCTGCAGCAACCCATGGAAAGAGGGACATTTCAGCTGGGTAAAGAGGATGAACTACCCTGTTTAGCAGTCAGCTTCCCAGATAGGCTATAAATGTCTCCATCTGCCTTACCAAATGTTTGCTTACTACCATACTGAAGGACTGACAGGGATGGTACGGCTAGTTCAACACTACTGCTTGGTTTTAATTTTGTAATATTAACCTGTGGGCTGATCTGTTAATAAAGTGAAACCTACATTTTTCAATAGGTGTCTGATGGTTTGCTTCCAGGTGATTAAGTATACTTCTACCCAGTTGTTAAGAGAGCGGTGCTGCTGTAGAATTCAGACACTTTATAATTGCCTCATTTTTAAAGAATGAATGTACCATGATATATATTTACAAAATTTACACAGCTCATGGCATACAGCAACAAACTATACATCACACACAATAGAACAGCTCAGCAGTCTGCTCAAAATGTAAAAAAAAAAAAAAAA